AAACCGGGGCTGATCTCAGGCTTTTGACTGTCGTAAGGTTAATTAATTCAAAAGAGTTTTTGTTTTTCTTTTTTAAAAAGGGGGGTGAGTGGTGTACGAAAGGGATTTTGCGTTGCTGTTCTTTTGATTTTTGGTTAGTTTTTTTGTTGATGATTTTGTGAAAGGGTAAAATAAACGAAGTGTGTAAGTAAGACGATGAAGACCGAGTGCCATGGTAAAACAAACACACGGGGCGCCACCACTCGGAGAACGAGCAACGCTTCTGTCGTAAGTTCAGGTCAATGTCCATTGTAACTTTGTTACAGATTGGTTAAACAAAACAGTAACCAGTCACCTCACACATGATTTGTGCATGAGTTGTGGGCGGGGCTTATAGGTGTCATGGCAGATCACGCTTCTCTCACCAACAGTTGAAAAAAAGACTGTGATATTTGCATGAAATTTGTTGAATTGCGTTACATCGTTTTTGCCGCGACGCGATCACCCCTTCTAAAACTCAGAAAAGCACTATCGGGAAAACCCGCGATGAAGTCGCCGGTGACCTTTTTAGTTATGGGCAGCCAATCACATGCCGCCTAGCGATCACGCGCCTCTTGCATGCCGGCACCTCGTGTTTGGAATGCGTGATCTAGTTTCCAGCTCTAGTGTTTTATCAATGTATGGGTGGTAATTTTAAGTTGGTACGTAAAATGTAGGCCCTATTGCTAAACACAGAGATCTGAAATTTTACAGCAATAAAGAAGACATGTGGGGCGCCTTTGTGGTCGGCGATCAACCCGCAGCTTTGCTTAGTTTTCGAACAGCAGAGGAAATTCGCACAAACACGGCAATATCTCCGGTTCTAGAAATCGTTCGGGATTGTACGCTGGCATGTCGTTAGTTTAACCTTTCCTCTGATTGGTTGCCGAGTTTCATTTATTTTCGTCGACAAGTTTTCCCGTAACTATACTTAGAAGAGTCACTTCTGATTCCGAGCGGCCCAAAAATTACCCCTCGCGCGGAGGCCGATTTCCGGCCCAAGGCGCAGCTGGTGATTGGCATTGCTACATAATGCCTCAGTTACGAACCAACTAACGCAGGCGGTTCTAAAAGTAGGCCACAAACGCAAACAAACTCAAGCAGACTGACACACAAACACTGGTGGGCTGCGTGAATGTGGGTCCGATGCGGGATCCAAAAGGAACAAGGATGATGTTCGGTGGGCATGCGCTGAGCCAGGGGCCAGACTGCCACGGGATCGGAACGAAGGCGAGGTGCCGAAATATAGGCTTATCGGGCGACATAAACCTGGCCACCACAGGACCAGGGTTAAAGTGCACACTTCTTTCTGAAGGCATGACTTTTGTCTTTTCCAGTACATTGTGTCATCATTGTAAATCAAGTCATGTTTGTCATCACTGCTATGTGTACAAGTCAGCCCCATTGATTTTGTGCTTTGTCTAAAATGCTTGTGTTTAAAATTGTTTTGCACATGTGTTTTTCTGGTACTGAGGCTTTGATATGGATATAATATATCTCTAGATTGTAGATCTAGGTTAGATCTAGATCTAAAAATGCATTTGCACAGCGTTTCACTATTGTGATGTGTGTTGTCAATGAATTATAATGTCCAATTATGTAATCTTTCTTGAACACATAAATGACATGTTCAGAGGACTGCGTCATTGTTACAACGAAGTGTATACAGACCCGGTAACCGGGAACAAAATCACGAAGTATACAGACCCGGTAGGGGAACTCTTTTGAGATTTCGGAAAAGTTTCATCGCCCAGACCCGGTAGTGTGTGTGTGTGTGTGTGTGTGTGAGTGAGTGAGTGAGTGAGTGAGTGAGTGAGTGAGTGAGTGAGTGAGTGAGTGAGTGAGAGAGAGAGAGAGAGAGGAGAGAGAGAGAGAGAGAGAGAGAGAGAGAGAGAGAGAGAGAGAGAGAGAGAGAGAGAGAGAGAGAGAGAGAGAGAGAGAGAGAGAGAGAGAGAGAGAGAGGATGACTGTTCGAGAGCAATTATGACATTGTTTAGCAATGCCCACCGAGCGCATTTTGTTCTGCCGATTTTTGGCCCCCGCCGCGGGGGTGTTTCGAGGGACGCACTAACGCAAAGGTTGTTGTCTTCAACTCGCTCACACGCCGCTTCTCGTGAATGGATATGAATGAAACTTGGCAGCCAATCAGAAAAGAGGTCAATCTCGTAATATGCAGTTTGACAACTTTGTACCCATCCAAGAAGCAGTCGAAAACGTTTGCGAAAGTGGTTGATGTGGTGCGCTTTGAAGGTTTTTCGGAGCTGTGACTTGTCAAACTGACTGATACGTTGTACACCATTTTTCTTTATTCCCTTAAAATTTCATGCTTCTGTGTTTAGCGGTTTTGGCGTAATCTTTAAAAATGTGGGAGTAACTAAGGAAAAAAGCGACATTGTCATTTGCGCGTGCTGGGTGAACGGCCGGCGGCGTGGAAATTTCCACTGAGTGACGTCATCAGCCATCGGTCGCCTCGGGCACTACAAACGAGGCCCCGCTTATGTGAAATGGAAAGGGGGGGAAGGATACTTGAAAACTAAACGGGGGCCTTGATAACTTGCGTTTTTGTTGCATTTTAGTCACAATACAATAGATGTAGTCATTTTTATTTGCTTGATTGCATGACAGAAGAATAGAAACAGAAAAGCAAACATCTTGAGAAGTGGTATGGCATTGTGTTTGCGTTATGAAAGCCTATTCCCCCCTCTTGGGAATGCACACACTTGGACTCGTCCTGTGTGCTCTGTTTGGGAAAAGTGAGGCATTAAGATTGTTATTAAAGAGTATGGTACTTATTTAGTCCAGTCTGGGAAGATAGTCCCGTTTATACATTGTTATCGTTCACGCGTGCATGCGTGAGTGCGTGCGCGTGCATGTGTGTGCGCGCGTGAGAGAGAGAGAGAGAGAGAGAGAGAGAGAGAGAGAGAGAGAGAGAGAGAGAAGGGGGGGTGTAAATGTGTTACATTTATTGTATAAGTTGTAGCCTACACATGCGAAATATTCCCATGACTTGTAAACTATATTATCTGAACGCATCTTAATCTACCACACAATAGGACACTGTCCAACAATGGATATACACAGAGACGATCTTATTTTCTATAACAAAGTATGCATGCTTTTACTAGTACAAAACTGGATTTATTAGTAGCTCTCTACTTACATTTTTGTGACAAATTGATCCAGAATATTGCTTGGCAAGGAAGAACCTTTTATGTTGCCAAGTTTCATTCAAATATCATGACTTTGGGAGAATATATGACTGATAATCTTTGTAAATCTGTAAAGAACGCCACTTTTTTACCTGTTAATGTCTTTACAACTCAAAAAGTATGACAGATATTAAAAATCTGACTGCATGACTAAATTCTGCATTAAAAAATGTACTAGGCTGCTAAGTTTCATTTACATATTCCAAGAAATAGGCGAGCTATGACAAATATTGTCTCAAAACGCACCGAAAAAGGCCAACATTTTTACCTATATAAAGGTCTTCATAACTCAAAAAATAGGATAGCTATGAAAAATCTGAAAGCAGGACTAGATTCTGCACTAGAAAATGTACTGGGTTGCCAAGTTTCTTTTAAATACTCAGAGAAATGAGCGAGTTATGACGAATATTGTCTCAAAACTCACCAAAGAACGTCCCATATTTTGGGGGTTTTTCATAAAAGTGTACCAGAAATTAATTGATTAAAAAATCCGTAACTTTTTTGTTTATTGATGGATTTTAAAAATTCAAAAAGTTCTATGCTCAGTGAAGATAAAGCTACAAAATGCACCTATTTGCAAACATTTTCTGGCAAAAAAAGGATTTTCGTGATCATTGCTACATTGTTCTTTTCTTCAAATTGTGATTCCTCCAACTCCAAAACGGAGGAACAACGATCGTTCATCGAAAAGACGGCGCTTTTTCGGTAGTTCCCACCCCGCAATTGTTATTCGCCTGTTTTGGCCTAATAAAAATGTGGTGGGAGTTTTCAGGGGGGCATGCCCCCCTGAATTTTACCATAATTTGATGTTTTGCAGTTGTTAGGTTTGATATCTTAGCTCGCATCAAACGTATAGATCTCGCTGTAGCCTACTAAAAGCGTACAATTTTGTCTGTGGGCAGTGGAGAGAGAGAGAGAAAGAGAGAGAGGAGTAGCGCGAGAATTTCCGGGCAAAACAAAATGGCGACCCACGTAGTTCGGCTCGATTCGAAAAGTTAAATAGCCGTAGCATCTTTGTAGACAACCAAATTAATTTACTTTTGTGTTTTAACATCATTTTTTAACTTTGTTTTGGTCAATTTGATCGTCCACACTGATAGACAGTATTCAGAAAGAGACAGAGAGAGAGAGAAGAGGGGAGGAGTTGATCTTGCGAGAACTTCCGGGCGGGTGAGAATAGACTTCTTTTTAATATCTCTCAATGGAGAATCTCGGACAGGTAGATCTATTCATTAAAATTTTGTCTTCCCCAAATGTAATTTTGAGTCAATAATTTGCCTTGCTGCCCGTTTTTGTAATCACTGTTACTGTTAAAACAAGAAATACAGTGGTTGCCCGGCCCAGCCATAAGGCATAAGGCCTAGAGATCTGATTCTCCAAAACCCTACATCTCCTTGCACTACGATACTTCAGGAATATGAGCACAAAATGTCAATCAGTGACACACAGAAAGGAGGGTCAAATTGGTATGATTTTTTTTTTACACCACTGTGAGTCTCATACTCATGTTTAGGCAATGGCTCTTCTAGAAGATCTCTATGCTATGACTATGACTAGATTTAGATCAAGCAGTAAATTATTAGACAATTAGAAGTGGCAATTCAACTCAGGTAGCCAATCAAGAGGGCACTGGCGGAGCTGGACTTATACTGCAATATTCTTATATTCAGTAAGACAGTTGTTATCAGATCAGTTCATATTCTATTTATAGAGGCAAAGGCTATGAGATGTGTGTCAAAATGCGACGGAAGGAAAACAACAAAGAGATCGCACCTTTGTAATGAACTCTGAGGTTATTCTGGGAGAGTCCAATAAAACTGAATTTGTCTTTGGGACTCCAAGAACGGGGTAGAGGTGTTTCATCTTCATCTAATGCAGGATAAAGTTGCTTTAGTCGATCAGTGCTGTCGTCTCCCGATCCAGAAGAATCGCTTTGAGACGAAGTGCCCGTCGCCATTTTGTTCTCTTTCGCTCTCTCTGAACAGTCAGTGAACAGTCTCTCCTGAGTCTTCTCTCTCACTCAGCTGAACGATCTAGCCCGGATGTGACGGAATCGAAGGAAAACACTATTTTGGGCGACGGGGGCTTTCATTGGTCACAGGAAAAAATAGTATCCAATCATTGACGAGGTAGAGAAAATGCTTGAGTTGCGCACAAGGAAATTAATACTTGGGCTGAAACGAACAAAAGCTTTATCTTAAATATCTTTTCGGAGACAATAGGCTTGGCCTACCCCTATTCGTTTCTGCTTCAACACATAGGCCTAGATCTAGATCTACGTCTAGGACCAAAATATAATTCAACCAACGATCTTGAAAAATACCCAAAATAAACTTCTTAGGTAGGCTTTATAAAAAAACGCTTCTGTTCGGTTTTGTCAGGACACCAAGCTGATTAGATCTAGATTTAGATCTTGATTCTATCATGTTGAAAAAAAAGTCATGTTCCTCCACTGCTCGCAGATTCTTACCCAGAACCTCCAGTCAAGTGCACCAAAGTTGTCGTCCGTCAACGGAAGATATGCCTATATTGTGTCATTTCGAAATTACCCCATACTCATTTCAAGGAACGTGATTATATATATATATATATATATATATATATAGGCCCATATTACCCCAAACTCATTTCATGGAACATATAGGCCCATCATAAGATACCTTAATTTCCCTAGATCCATATCCAAATGAAATAGCCTAGGCCTACCGATAGGGCCTTATATAATAAATTAATTTTAAAATGTATTATTATTTGGTAAGTCAAATGCAAGAAAGGTGACCCGGTGGGTATTAAGGCTTTTGGTATCGTCAACCCTTTAAAGCGGTTGTAAAACATGTGGTCTAAAAATAGTGAAAATAAACTAGATTCTAGAGACTAGAGGCAAAAGAAATGTCTGCCATGCAGTCACCGGTTTTGAGGAGAATTGGGGTAAGCGGGCGGTAGCGTAAAAGGCACTTATATAATAAGTTGCCATATAAAGATAACACGGGTTATAAATTAAGAGATGTGATCTCACCGAATAGGAGAAGAGAATTAACGAAAGAAGGCTGAGACTTGCGTGCAGGTGGCAGCTTAAAATTATGGTCATCTCAGATTAAGGGTTTTTCCACACATTTAATTAAAGAACAATGATACGCCTAAACTTGATATCGCCTGGGGAAAATAACACATACTACACACACACACACACACACACACACACACACACACACACACACACACACACACACACACACACACACACACACACACATATATATATATATATATATATATATATATATATATATATATATATATACAGTGTATAATATATATATTATAATAATTATAATAATAATAATAATAATAATAATAATAATAATAATAATAATAATAATAATAATAATAATGATAATAATAATAATACGTGGACGTAAGAAATTCAGAAGATCCGCAGAAGATGTAAGAGTCTTCACGAGCGCCGATGTAAGTTCAGGCCACAACCTTTGGAACTTAAGAATTATTCAGTTCAAATTGGCTCAAGGCTCAAGAGGATGGGGCATGTCAGTAGTAATTTAAATGGGGTCAATATATACAGTTCCTTCAGTCGAAACTGCGAGAGGTTCAAATTATTAGCTTGACCCTTGACCGAATTCCAATCTTTGACAGAGCTGATTTAAGAGGTGTGGGAGAGCAAGAGCAGATATGGGCATCAGTCTTATAATTGTACAATACAACTTGCAGAGACAAAAAAATAGCGGGGGGAGAGAGAGAGAGAGAGAGAGAGAGAGAGAGAGAGAGAGAGAGAAGAGAGAGAGAGAGAGAGAGAGAGAGAGAGAGAGAGAGAGAGAGAGAGAGAGAGAGAGAGAGAGAGAGAGAGAGAGAGAGAGATTGAGACACAGAGCTAGAGAAGGCACAAAGTGCGAATCTCTACAAAATACATGTACAGGATAGGAAATAGAAAAGGGCAAAGATACTATATGTGGAGAAAAAGGACCTCAGTCCAATCGCCAAATCGAAGCGTCACAAGAATAATATACACAAGTCAACAATGAAGTGAATTAAAGAACTTAAAAGCAAACCAGAGCAGATTATAAAAAAAAGAAGAAGAAATAGCGGAAATGGCAGAACAGGCAGCAACCTTAAAGGAATCTATGATGCAACAAAGAAACAGGTGGGAGGTATATATCAAATGGAATTGCCTGTTAAAGACAAGCGTGAGAAATGTCGACATGAGAAAAAATAGCACAACTAAACAGATGGACAGAACACTTCAATTAGGTACTTCTTTACAGCAACAAATTATAATACCCACTGGATATATCGCCAGCTGAGAGAGAATTAGAAATAAATCGTGAACATCCAATTGAGAAAGAAATCGCTGAAGCAATCAAAGAGTGGAAATTATATGCTCTACCGCCCAAGGCAGTGAAGTGAAATACAATGTAGCTGAAAAAAACGTACTTTTGGCTATTTGAGAAGATTTGGACAACAAAAGAATAGTGGGACTTATGTTTATAATGTGATGAATATGATTAAAGTTACATATTATAGGCCCTATCGACATTGATTGTGTTATGATAAAATATCGGCAAATATACACACACGCAATAATAATAATAATAATAATAATAATAATAATAATAATAATAATAATAATAATAATGATAATAATAATAATACGTGGACGTAAGAAATTCAGAAGATCCGCAGAAGATGTAAGAGTCTTCACGAGCGCCGATGTAAGTTCAGGCCACAACCTTTGGAACTTAAGAATTATTCAGTTCAAATTGGCTCAAGGCTCAAGAGGATGGGGCATGTCAGTAGTAATTTAAATGGGGTCAATATATACAGTTCCTTCAGTCGAAACTGCGAGAGGTTCAAATTATTAGCTTGACCCTTGACCGAATTCCAATCTTTGACAGAGCTGATTTAAGAGGTGTGGGAGAGCAAGAGCAGATATGGGCATCAGTCTTATAATTGTACAATACAACTTGCAGAGACAAAAAAATAGCGGGGGGAGAGAGAGAGAGAGAGAGAGAGAGAGAGAGAGAGAGAGAGAGAAGAGAGAGAGAGAGAGAGAGAGAGAGAGAGAGAGAGAGAGAGAGAGAGAGAGAGAGAGAGAGAGAGAGAGAGAGAGAGAGAGATTGAGACACAGAGCTAGAGAAGGCACAAAGTGCGAATCTCTACAAAATACATGTACAGGATAGGAAATAGAAAAGGGCAAAGATACTATATGTGGAGAAAAAGGACCTCAGTCCAATCGCCAAATCGAAGCGTCACAAGAATAATATACACAAGTCAACAATGAAGTGAATTAAAGAACTTAAAAGCAAACCAGAGCAGATTATAAAAAAAAGAAGAAGAAATAGCGGAAATGGCAGAACAGGCAGCAACCTTAAAGGAATCTATGATGCAACAAAGAAACAGGTGGGAGGTATATATCAAATGGAATTGCCTGTTAAAGACAAGCGTGAGAAATGTCGACATGAGAAAAAATAGCACAACTAAACAGATGGACAGAACACTTCAATTAGGTACTTCTTTACAGCAACAAATTATAATACCCACTGGATATATCGCCAGCTGAGAGAGAATTAGAAATAAATCGTGAACATCCAATTGAGAAAGAAATCGCTGAAGCAATCAAAGAGTGGAAATTATATGCTCTACCGCCCAAGGCAGTGAAGTGAAATACAATGTAGCTGAAAAAAACGTACTTTTGGCTATTTGAGAAGATTTGGACAACAAAAGAATAGTGGGACTTATGTTTATAATGTGATGAATATGATTAAAGTTACATATTATAGGCCCTATCGACATTGATTGTGTTATGATAAAATATCGGCAAATATACACACACGCAATAATAATAATAATAATAATAATAATAATAATAATAATAATAATAATAATAATAATAATAATAATAATAATAATAATAATAATAATAATAATAATAACAACAATCATAATAATAAAGATGATGATAATAATAATAATAATAATAATAATAATAATAATAATAATAATAATAATAATAACAATAATAATAACAATAATAATAATAATAATGCTGTGCTCTTTACATTGGAAGTGTTTGTTAAAAGCGTACGTGATTTCTAAATTTATATACTTTTAAGAAATACATTTAACTCAGTTCGTGCAACGCTGGCATGATGTAGGCTTATGACATGTAGCCTACCTTTTTGTTGAATTTCTCTCGACAACAGCTTTCGCTTTCATGAGTAAAAATCACACAAGGTAATAGGCTATTTAAATTGTTACAATGCCTTGGGCAAATTTGTATACACTGAACTCTTTTCACTCCTTCACGTATACCCCCCCCCTCCTGCGCTACTTTCCTGTCTTTTAAAAAATCTTGTTATTTTTTTGTTTTGCTTTTTTGGTTTTGTTTTGTTAGTTTACTGTTTCTGTTGCTTTTATTTTTTTAAAGTTCATTTTTATTTATCTCTTTCTATTTCATTGGGGGCGGGCATGAGCATAATAGTAGGCAGTCTGTTCGAACGCATGTCTTTATTGTCATTCTAAGTTGGTCTTAATAGTTTGCTTAAAACTCTCTGGATTTTTTCCTTTCTTAGAGCTCCTTGATTTACCGCCACAGCCCTGTTATACCCGAAGTGTGGCGACTCACTCCCGCCTCTAGCAATAACATGTTTCAAAAACACTTTTGCAACATTGATACAGATTTACATACTAAAAAACCCCAACAAAACAACAACAGCAAAAAAGAGGTAAAAGCGAGGGCAAGAAAAAAGTTAATAGACTGCTGGAAATCTAAACCCATCCCCTCCCCCTAAAAAACAGAACTTGCAAAAAAATCTATGCCAGCGCCCATATGAACTGGCAAGTTTTGCATTGTCATCTTGTAGGCCTTTGTTGATTTCGAATCATTTGGCTGGGGACGGTCTCGACGGCATCAAAATAATAAAAGAATCAAATTGGTTGTGCTCCCTGGGTATTATGGGAGACGTTCATGTTATGTGTGTGTGGGGCGGGGGGGGGGGGGGGGGGTTGCTTTTCGATCCACCCCTCCCCTATCTGAGTCATTAAGGTTTGCTCAAGTTTGCTGTGCACTCTTGTGTCACACTGACTTTGGCTGTAGGCCTACTCCCGTCACGTTTCTGCTGCACTCTGGTCACGCCCCCACTGTAAGTGTATTCTGATCTCGTCTCTGCTGGGTAGTAGAGAATCTTTGTTCTGGACATGCTACTCCACTAGCCTTCTCGTGCAGTGGGCTTACCGCATGACGTCACTCTGTCGAAGAAAGAACGCTTAATTTAAGTAGGATTTTGAAACATAATTCTTTCTCGAAGCGGAATAAACAAGAAGATGATACGTTTACGCACTAAGATGATTAACTTCTAATCTTCTGCAGTTTCATTGCCCCCTTGGGTTTTATTGAATAATAACGGGTGTTTTGAAATAATATTGACTATTTTAACAATTCAAGTACAATGTAATATACACCCCTGCCTATAGTGTAGTCGTGTTCCGCTGTCGCCCAGGAGAGACACACGTTCGATTCCCGTCTCGCTGAGATTGTATCAGAGAATTTGATTGTATCATGGGTAATCCTGACAAGCACCTATAGCCTATAGGGTCGAAGGCCGCCTCGTAAATCATCTGAATGGCATCGATAGGAGCGTAAAAGTAAAACGTTTCCATTAACATTTTCGAAACCATTTTGTGAGGTTGTCAGTGTGCTCTGAAACGATGAAACGCCTGCCTGTACAACGACAAGATCTGATAATTCACCATCTATACATAGCATAATCCGATACCCTTGCTTGCTTGGATAGTGATTTGCAAGACCCACAGAGGCGAGACTCGGCTTCAGAATCGCCCGCCGCCTTCCGATCTGATCTCTTTCTGCAGCCTTTTTTTCTACTGCTACTCCCTGGCTCCTTAACTGCTGTCTTTCACTTTCAGCCACGTCCCTGAGCTTTTGGAAGGAAAGGTCTAGTCTACCTCGCCTTCTCGGACAAGGGTGAAAAATCTCGGTGGTCCCGAGTGCAAGTCGCGCACGTTAAAGATCCCTTGGTGGCCTAAAGTCGATAAGAGTAGGCAAAATTCAAAAATTCCTTCCGACTGAAAATGTTTAATGTGTCCTGCGCGCTCATATGAACTTATGCAGTTGCGAGCGCCGTAAATCACTTACCAAAAGAAAGAAAGAAAGCACAGAAATACTACTTCTCGCTTCACAAGGAGTCATGTAACACAATCATTAATTAAGAGTAAGGTAACAATTCAATTATTGTTCGTGTTAAAAACATATTTCTTGCAACTCAACCAGGCGCTCTCTTTGCCCACCCATTCCAACCGCTTCTATAAAAATACCGCTTCCTAGAAATTCATCCTTTAGTTTGAACTTTGGCTAGGCCACAGAACTTTAAAATATCTTACTTTCATAATATTAATTTTTCTCATATTTGTTCTCATATTTCCTGTGCACTGATGTTGTCTGATTGTCTGGCTCTAATTTAATTCGATTAAATTTCCCACTAATTTTATCAGTACAATGCTATGCAAAATGTTGTTGAGCACATGACGTGTAGTGCCTTGTTGCTATTATCATAAATCGAAGGACGCAAGATACGTGCGAAGCATTGATTTACCAATTTTTGTTCAAGCGAACTAAGCGATGAACGAAGATCTCATTTCCGATGTGGAACTCATTTTTATTTAGAGCTGAAATAGTGGTGTTTCCGTCCCAAGAGCCAAAATGGTGGCAAAATCAATAACAGGAAATCTACTACTACAGCAGTCAGAGATGAAAGACCCCCTTTCACTTTCTGCATTTTTGTTTCTATTCAACGGAGAAGATGTGCTTTGATATCATATATTGTGGAAATATATGGCCTTTTAAATAGCATAGCAAAGAACTTTTTGTCATGTTTCTAGCGTGATGTCGATTGAGGGAACGAGCTGAATAAAAAAAATGTTGTGAGTCTGACTCTGACTTTTAGTTTGCGCTTGATAATTGATGAACTTGTCACTGGCTTGTCTGCAGTTTTTCTGAGTCTGATTAACAGGGAACAATTCCAAACGTCCAGCCTGCTCTGTATGATACATGAATAGTTTAGAGCCTGTACTGTATATTTCTCTATGTGAGGAGTTTGAGGATGCTCTGTTCAAATTTGTGATAGATAATAAAATATAAAGGTCTAGAATCTAGATTAGAAAGTGTAATTTTCATTTATTTAGTGGTGATTAGGACGTTCTCGCGGTGCCCTGAATGAAGTTTGTGCATTATTAAAGCTTTTCTCTGGGGCTGCACTGCAGTCACTTTAGTCTACTTTAGATTACTGTGAATTGTTGTTTTACCTTTTCAGTGACAACACTATCATCATCTGTTTCTTTTATTTTTACCGAAGTGACTATTTCTCCGAACGAAAATCTTGAAATCAATCTAGAACTCGTAGACTGACTGGGTGATGGGGTCACGAAGTGTGAAGTGGGGAATCTCAACGAAAGTCTTGATGATGTCAGATTTCCAGTGAAAAGGAAACCGTTGTCAAGTTAAAGAAATAAAACCTGGCGTGAAAACTGATGATTGATTTGAGAAACTGATACTGACACCAACAGAGAACAGCTCACTTGGCTTGTATTCTCTATTGCAGTTGCTAGGGTTCTCGACACTGCACTTCATGAACCCATCGCCGAGACTTGCGGCTAAACGTAGAACGACGCACCTGCCTGGTTGCCTGCTAATGTACTTAATGTGATGTCATCACATCCTTGGATACCCAAAGACTATTTTTAGAAGGTTGTTGAGTTGAGAATCTTTGAAAATACTGCATGGAACGACATATTGGGTTAGTGGCTTGACGTATCGTATCCGTATCGATGTGTTTCGCACGTTAAAATTTCTCACTTGGACATGAGGGAAGATTGCTTAGATTGTTGATGCTCAGAACAGTTAAGAACACTGTTTACTTGAACTTGAAATAAAAACACGTTAAATGCAAAGACAATAAAGCGCGCAAAAATTGCCGTAAAGGCCTCGGAAGATTACCTCGGGCCCGATAAACAATGCGCAGTAGAGATAAGCAGCAGCATCTTCGGAACACCGCATCATATCACATTACCTGTATTCCTGGAAAAACATCGCTCCAGAGCGTCATGCCTTCAAAGATCTTGTAGTGGAGAATCTTTGGTGCCTTGCAGTTGTCTATATTTAGATGTAGTCACATGATCGGAGGGGTATCCCAGTCTGACTTCACACAAGATGGCCATATTGCCAAAAAATAGTTTGTGTCGTTCTACGTTTAGTCGCATGTATCGCCGAGTCAGTCTATGAGTCCTAGGTATAGATCTAGAGTTTCGTCTTCGCCATCGTACAAGTGGCTAAGTGGGGTAATTTACGATAAAGATAAAAGAAATGGATGTAAGTGTTGCTGCCGAAAAGGTAAAGCAGCAATTCACAGTAACTTGACTGCAGTGAAACCCCAGTAATAGTTTTAATAATACACAAACAAACTACTTTCAGGGTGCCATGAACATAGCCTGCAGCTGCAAACTACGTTCACGGCACCATGAAGCGTGAAAATAGTCACTGCATTTTCATTTTTACAGTGCAGTTCAGAGTCCCAGTTAGTGTTTTATATGTTGCTTAGCATGCTCAGTATTCTGTGAACTGCTTGATGAGGTGACTAGTCACCATGAGCTTGGAAAGGTAAAATGTTCAAATACTATAGCAAACTTCAAAATTGGAAAGAGAACCCACATCAGCTTTACAGTACTAAGCTGTTCCTGGAACAGGAAATGATTCAGTAAATGTACAAGCTTGAATGACATGTTGTAATTGTTTTTGAGTTCCCAAGTCAGTGATTGACTGAATGTTGATTGAACGAGGTGATGAGAAATTTTGAAGAGAGCAGAATAATCAAATGGTGAAGTGATTAGTCAGTGGACAATGTGATGACAGACTAGTGAAAGTCAAAGTGATGATGATTGTTGTGCTTTGATCTTTTCTCTTTTTAGGTCTGGTGACAATGAGGGTGGATTTGTTTGAGGTTCGTCTGAACAACTCCAATTTCATCTACATTGCTGGTCAGACAGTTACAGGAAGTGTGGTTATTAGGCTCTCGAAGGCCACCTGGATTGATAGTGAGTTGACCAGTGATAAATATATATGATTGACAATAGACACAAAATCCTTTTTTTTTTTTGGTCCTCAAGACTGGCCCCATCATGTTTTGCAATTATTTTTTTTCAAGAGACCAATCATATTGTGTTAGAAAAAAAACCTTTCCAAAAGATGTGTATAATACTATAGTTTAAACTATATTTCTTTCTTACAGACCTGTCAGTCGTTTCTAAAATATTTTTTTCTCAATAAAGCATATTCAGCTGTAGTTTTGTTTCAATTTTTATCTCAAAAGTGGTCCAAAGTCAGTATCTTTTTCTTTCTTTTCTCAGCGATCAACATCAAATTTTGTGGTCGTGCGAAGTCAAGATGGGATGTGTCTTATGGAGACAGTTCGAAACGCTACCAGGCAGACGAGGTGTACATCGATAGTGAATACTGCCTCTATCAAAGCGAAAGTGAGGCTCACTGTCTGCTTAGAAATGTGACAACTGATTATTGTAACATTTAGAGGATAAAAATGACCTCTCTTCACCTCCTGTAATGTGAGACCATCTTGTGTAACATTTTCTTTTTTGATAGGAGACATCAACTTTAAAATGGCAATTGACACCAGTTGCTATGCGACATGTGACTCCACCTCTGTTACATGGTCTTTTATGCTACCCATTTTTGCAAGCATTTATAACCTCAGATAGCCAGCAGTACCTTACTTTGAATGGTTCAGGACACCTTGTTTTACCTTAGTATTATAACATTGTTTAAAAACAGCCCAAGGAGGAATGAATGGGCTGCGCTTTACCTCGTGGGGGGGGGGGAGATGGGGGGGTCCTGTGCTTCCTAGAATCAGGGAGTGTTTTTACCATGTGTCTCATACTGTATGTTTCATGTTGTCTTCTGTCTCTTCTCTGTCAGACCGTGTGGACAAGCATCCAATCGGCACCCATGTGTACCCGTTTGACTTCATGCTCCCGCCAGACGTTCCTTCATCCTTTGAAGGTCGCCGTGGTTATGTCAACTATGAGTGTCTGGTCACCATGGACCTGGGCTGGAAGGGCATGATGGAGCGGGAGCAGCAGCTGACTGTCATCCGCCACCTGGACCTGGCCACCCTACCACATGCTGCAGTATGCTATACCATTTCACCTTTTCATTGTGCTACATGCTGCAGAATGGCATTCTATTCTTATGCTGCTGTATGGCTTGTTGCTGTTCATACTTCTTAGACTCTTTCCGTATCTCGTCACTCTGCTTCTCGTTGCTGTACTCTGTGCTACTTTTCTGTTTCCTTACTCTCCTCTTCCTGTATCTCACCGTTCAATCACACTTCGCTGTATGGTATGGCACTCCTTCTTTTCACACTCTCCCATACTGCCTCTTTCTTGTCGCACTTCACTTGTACCTCCTCTTTCTTCTCATCTTCTGGCACAGCGTCCCTGTTTCCTGCTTTTGCCGTACACTCTATATTTCCTCACGCTCGTGTGCCTCCTCTTTCTCCTGTCTCTCAAACACATCATCTCTCTTCCCATGATGTGAGATTTGTTTATCTATAATGAATTGTATGTGGAGGATGGGTGATGTGTCTATGTTCATAGAGGTTGTTTTTTTAAATGTAGGCAGGATGATGTGTCCTTTGAAAAAGGAGGATTTTTGTCTTGTTTGTGAAGCTATTGTATGTCTTATATATGTAGGGTTAATGTTGTGCTTAAAAGTTGATTTGCATTGACTTTCATCAGATGCCCCAGAACCTGCAAGAAGAAGAAATGTACGAAGGCTGTTGCTGTGACTCTGGTACCGTCTCAGCAACCCTACGGCTGCAGAAGAGTGGATTTGTACCTGGCGAGCCAATGCAGTATGACATACGCGTCAATAATCAAGCAACATCCACCATCTATGGAGTCTCTTTATTCCTCGTTCAGGTACAGGACTGTCAAATATGCCTTTCTGTCGCCCTAGTGATTTCTTGTGGACACTTTGGCCTCATGTACATGTGTAGATATGGTTGTGGAAAGGGTGTGAGGTCAGTTTTACTCACTACAGACTAGTATCACCCTGAACAATATATTTGCGTTTTTCAAGATGGGTCTGTATACACATTTCAAATCTGTCATTAATACCTTGTGGGAGAGTGGGGGGGGGGGGGGGGGGGGGGGGAGAAGTAAGAGTACAGGTGTGCTTTAAAAAAAAATGAAAGCTTCTGTGAGACCTTTAGTGTTTAGTGCCAGTTGCTTTTACTGTGAAGCATGATTTGTACCAGCTGGCTTTGGCCATCAACATACCTTTATTCGTAGAGTGATGTCTATGAATATTGATATAGTCACTCGCACTGAATCTTGGAAGAGAGTAAGGTCAGCAGAAAGGAAATTGTGGAGAAGGAACAGGCTGGTAAAGAGGAAGTTATAGATGGATGGGGTCGACAGAGAGGGGGGGGAAGGGAGGGAGGGAGGGAGGGAGGGAGTCTTGTGGACCCACAAAGAGGAAGTCTCCACACAGTCTAATAGGGTGGCTTACCATTGTCTGGATTGTTTGACTGGTGTTTACTGAAGTTGGTCCCAGGATACACAGACGTAATTACAGCCAAAAAGAAGCAGACTAACCTGTAAAAAATTTCTTATTGTCTGAGCATCCAAAAAGTAAGAACTTGATCAGGGGGAAAATTGAATGGGATTTGAGAGGCTTTTCAAGGGCTGCAACTCAGCTCTCCCAAGGAGGTATTGGTTTTCTCATTTTGCTGAATGACTGTTAACACTCATGATACAGATATATAGGTTTTTACATGTCATTGTTTACTTGTTTACTTACGTTGTGCAGGTTTTTCTTTATTACTGTTTTCACACTGGATGCAGACCTAGGTTTTTCTTTTTATTGTATGCACTTATGACGTAGGTCAATATGTTTTCATTATATCCTTTCTTTTGCTCAGGCTGGAGTTCTAGATTTTCTCATATCATTGAGTATGCTCATAGTTTGTTTCCCCAAGGTTTTCTCATGTCACTGTGTAAATCTAAGTTTTGTCATTGTTTACATTCACCTAGGTTCTCTCATATCAATGGAAAAAAATATGAAAGGTACCTGGAGGAGAATAATTAAAAATAAAATATATTGGTGGCAGGGGAATTGTGGAGTAAGCTTAGATAGCTCGCCCAGAACAGAGATCAACAGAGGAAATTTTTGTGTGTTCTATGCTCCTTCTGGAGTGATGGGTAATTGGTTCTGAACTCTTAATCTACTTGTATCTCGTAGCCTTGTTAGTGTTCATGATACAAATTGCTATAAACTTTCTCATTTCATTTTTTTTTGTACGCTAAGAATTTGGGTAGAGGTTTTCTCATATCTTCATTACATATTATTGTGTAAATTTAAGTTTCCTCATATGTCATTGCTGATACTCATGTTGTTATTTTTGTTTTACTAATGTCATCGTGTCTGTGTAGGCTCATGTGATATTTTCGTTTCTTTTTTTCTTTCTTTTGTTCCAGCTGGTCCAGTACACTGGCTTTAGTGACAGCGTATTTTCTTCTGGAAACCCGAAGTACCACAACAAAGTCAACGAGTGGGATCTATTCCATTCAGATGACAAAATCGGAGCAGGCAAAGCAGCGATTTTCCGTAGCCACTGCATCATCCCTGCGGTGGCGCCGTCACTGCTTGAAGGTTGTAACATCATCGACATCACTTATGAGATACATGTAAGCTTGGATGAAAGTTTTCTGTCTACAGATGGCTATCTTTCTTCTGGAAATAGGGATAAAAATAGAGGAAGTTGTACGTTGTTAATAATTTTATGGAGACAAAAGTCAATTTCAGCAGTGTCCTATTAGTAACATTTCCAGACACGATGTACTATGACCATGGCCTCTCTGGACATTGCTGGTTGAAAGGGCCTCTTCTAAAATCTTATGTAATCATTGGCAAGAATAAAACTCAACAAAATAAGAGAAAACGGAAAGTTTCCATGCGATTTTAATATTGCTATGTATTCTTTCTGACTATTTCCCATCCCTACCTGTTATCAACCCTCTAGACACTAACACAATGTAAACCTGAATACTCTACAGTACACATGGTATACTTATTTATTGTGTATCGAGACAAACCTACATCACTTATGCATTTGGGATTCCTCAATTTACTTCATGGTTGCTGTCATTCACTTTCCCATGGCTTCATAAGGCAAGGATACCCAAAACAGCACCACAAAATTCAGTTTACACTGATAAAGGGTCTGCATTGTCGGATTGTTTTCCTCTGTCCTCAGCTGAAAGTTCCAGTGGGCTGGCGGACAATTCACATCAACTGTGGAGTTTTCATCGGCACCGTACCTCTAAGACTCCCAGAACCCACTGGGCCGTCCGATGTAGATACTAACCATTCTTCCTTTGATCTTGACATTTCTTCATCTCCACCTGTGAGACCACAGTTTGAACGTAAGTTGCGACAACACTTTTACAGATGGAACACTTTAAAAAAAAAGAATGAGCAGAACAGGTGAACTGATAGACTTATTGAAGTTCTTTACTGTATGAAATAATAGAGCGGGTAAAATACTTGAGTAGATAGTGTCTTGACCAAATAATGTATTTATCACACATTAACTTCTTTATCATTTCAAATTTATGTGAAATGCTTTGCTAATGAGGTACTTCAGTAGATGAAATCCTTCAGACAACTACAGTAAATGAAACACTTCAGAAATACTTCAGCATATGAAATACTTTAATGAGTTAAAATTACTTCAATAGAGGAAATACTGCTGCTGGTGAAATACTACTGAAATATGTCTATAGATGAAATGCCCAAGAAGGTTTTCAGCCAGTGAAAAACTCAAGAAATATTACTGCAGATGAAATGCTTCATTATACGAAGTATTTAAACTATACTTCAATTTTTAAATAGATAGCAAAATTATATGGTTTGATAATTATTAGCCACTTTATTAAGGTTAATCCTTTTTGGGGGTTTTCCAAGTTCCCGCAATTTAATTTATGATTATCAAAAAGCTATTAGAGTGTATTAGCGAAGTGAGTGATGTTGTGTCTGTGAAACAGCTGGGCTACTTAATCTGTGGTCAAGAGTTGTGCCTGATTGTGATATCAACTCATTCTTTTCTCTGTGTCTTTTCCTTAGTTCCTCCGTCCTACGAGGAATGCGTTTTTGGTCGCATGGAGTCTCAGGAGGGTACAGAGGAGGATGATATTGATGAGGGAGGTCGTGCCAATGTGGACTCTGGTGGGGGTCCCTCCACAGCCGCCAGCCGTCGCAGTCGCTTCCATCGACTGCCCAGCTACCCTTACTACAACAGCGAGCACTTCACTGACACCGGTGCCTACATCACAGCCCCTCCTCCCCCACACGGCAATGAGACTCCAGTGGCCTTTGTCCACAGCAGTGGTCAGACTAATACGTACCCCCTGCCTCCCCCTTCACCTCCCCAATCTCCGCCCCCACCGGCCCTCCCCACAGGCTACAGCCCATTGTCCCAGAGTGAGGGGGAGGCTCTCTCATCACTGCCACCCCCGCCCAGCTACGAGTCTCTACACCAGTGAACGAGTTACCTCACTGTCTCTTCTCCAGTGGCCAAACTCATGAGTCATCCTGCTGTCTCTACTTCTTGGATCAATCAATGATTTGTCTCATTCTTTCTTCTTTATTGATCAAAGAATGAGTCATCTCACTGTGTCTTCTCCACTGACCAATGACTGAGGTATCTCACTGTCTGTACTCCACTGACCAATGACTGAGGTATCTCACTGTCTGTACTCTACTGACCAATGACTGAGGTATGTCACTGTCTGTACTCTACTGACCAATGACTGAGGTATCTCACTGTCTGCACTCCACTGACCAATGACTGAGGTATCTCACTGTCTGTACTCAACTGACCAATGACTGAGGTATCTCACTGTCTGTACTCTACTGACCAATGACTGAGGTATCTCACTGTCTGTACTCTACTGACCAATGACTGAGGTATCTCACTGTCTGTACTCTACTGACCAATGACTGAGTTATTTCACTGTCTGTACTCTACTAACCAGTAAATGAATTATTATCTCACTGTCTCTTCTTCATCGACCTATGGCTGGGTTTTCTGACTGTCTCTTCTTCACTGATCAATGAATGAGTTATCTCACTGTCTGTACTCTACTGTTCAATGACTGAGTTATCTCACTATCTCTTTTCCTTTGACCAATGACTGAGTTATCTCTGTCTCTATACCGATGACTAAGTTATCTTGCTGTCTTTATATCACTGAATGCCGAGTTATCCAACTGTCTCTTCTTCACTGAACAATGAATGAGTTATCTCACTGTCTCTTCCTCACTGACCAATGACTGAGTTATCCAACCTTCCCTTCTTCACTGACCAATGAATGAGTTATCTCACTGTCTCTTCCTCACTGACCAATGACTGAGTTATCCAACCTTCCCTTCTTCACTGACCAATGAATGAGTTATCCAACCTTCCCTTCCTCACTGAAGAATGATTGAGTTATCTCAGTCCCTATACCGATGACTGAGCTATCTTGCTGTCTTTATACCACTGAATGCTGGGTCTACACCATTTAGTGATTTATCTTGCTGTCTCTTCACCACTGAGTAAGCCTGTGTAAACCTTTGCAGTTTTTTTTACACTAAATGCAAAAGGAATTGAAGGATATGAAATTACGTTTACTTGTGGTTTGCCGTAATTGGAATGCTGCTGCTACCTCTACTGGAGAGAGTGTGCAGATTTTTTTGAGTATGGTATGGGTTGTTGTCAAGGCGCTTGGAAATCCCTCTCCTGTCCCCGTTGAAAACTATTGAATTTTGAATCCAAACAGAGGTGCTATCCCCACAAAGTCAACAATTTTACATTGACTAATACAAGTTTTTGTTCCTGAAGTGTACAGGAAAGTATTTACTGGAAGCAGATGCAATAAGTGATAGGGTGAAAGTGGTTGCTAAGTCAGTTATATTTGATGTCTTGGAGGTCTTATTGTGCCACTATGATTGACATTTGAAGATGAAATTGAGATCTAGTGCCAGAAGTTTTTCATGATTTTAAGCTTAAAATTCCTTTTTGTTGATTTCCAGAACTTTTAGAATGCTGCGTGGCTATGACTCCTGAATAACTTTTAAGTTTACAAATTAAGTGTATTGGCCATAGCGTGATTGTAGTGTAAAAAAACCCTAGTGTTTGTATTTACAAAGTGTGTGTCTTGACCTGGTCTGTTTAAAACAAAAAGTGTCTTGACATGGTGGAATCAGGTGCTTGTCAATTTTTGGGCAAATGGAGTTATTGGTACCATCGTAAGCCTGTTCATTTGTCTTGCTTTTGATGGAAAAATACCCATCTATTTTGAATAGAAGTTGAGATATTTGCGATTGAAGGAGGTGGGGGTGGCCTGGTTTCAGAGGTAAAAAGTAGCAAGAAAATGGCCTCCAAAGTTTTGTGACTTTCATAGCTCGACAGTCTTAAGAAATTGAAAATGTTAATTTATTTGCACCGTTTTAGTAAAGTCCTCAGTGAAATATTTTCAATGGACGTGAAAGTTGTTGAGCCCAAAAACAAAAATTCGATAATAATTGTCAAACTGGCAGAAAGCTGGTATCTTCGATATCATTATTTCGATGAGCGCCTGGTTTCACCACGATGCCTCACAAATGTTTGTGTTTACAGTGTGTACGAGTCTTGACTAGGTTGTATTGTCGCAACTTGTTTGTGTGTACACCTTGTGTCAGTCATGATACGGTCATAATGTTAACGACTCAGTATTTTGTTCCAAAAGTATGTGGGTTGTGTTGAACGGAAGGTTAAGCGTTGATAATATCAGTATCCGAGAAGCGACTCACTTATGACTTACTGTGTTGGCAGCCAAGTGTTTTGCGTTTACAAAGAATGAGTCTTGATATGATCATGATGGTTTTTTTTTTACAAAGTACTGTCGGGCACAGATAACTCAAACATATGAGGGATTGACAAATGCGTTAGATAAATCCATAGTTTTGGTAAACCGATAAACAAAAAAATTAAAGAGATTTTAAAGAGTATCAAGGATAGTAACTGACAGTACAATGGTTGGAATATAAATTACTGCTACGGATTTGCTGTAGCAGATTTGCAGTCTACAGCTTCTTGAATAATGCTGTGTCTCTTTTTGAACCTGTCAAACCATCCTGTGTTGCATGTGAAGTCAAGGCCAAGTTCCTTTGTAATTTTGCCTGCTTTATTAGTCATCAGGATGGGACCAGAGGTTGGAAAAGACACGGCACATGTTTGCTGGAATCATTGAAACTGCTAGCTTGATGTTCTCAAATCTGGCAAAGTGGGCCAGCGTTGTCAGGTTAACATGCTGGCCTTCTTGATTTCTTATTTTATTAAGTTCTTTTGAGAAACATGGAAAGCATTGAATTGGTGATATATTAATTCTTATAAATTTCTGATTTAGTGCTGGAGGACTTTTCGTCAATCTCTGCTGAAATCTGAAGTTTGGTTTTTATTGTGAGTCAATTAACGTTTCTCTTCTGTGTCATCATGAAAAGTATCTGGTAATTAAGCTGGTATCGGCAAAAGGGTAGAAGGATGGATAGTGTGTGCACGTGCAACTTTTCCAGTTTAAAAGCAAGAGAGACAAAGAGAGTAATGCTGATGAGTCATGAAACTAAAATAAATTGGTTTCTATGTCAGATCCAGAGGAGATGTTGACTTCACATGCTTTTTTTTACAGAACTTTTTCGGACAGCCGTCTTTGAGAGAAAACGGTTACGTAACTGTCATCACATGAGACACACACAGACAGAGAAAAATTATGTTTCTAAGCCTAAGCTCGATTTGACTTTTCTGTTGACTGATCCATCCGTGAAGATCACAGAATCTCCTTGTTTGCTATGCTTTTCTACTATCAGGGTCTCAATTTCAGCGTTTTTAGCTCCAAGTAGCCAGTCGCGACATTCTCTTCCCTATGTTGCCTTCACCGTTGTGTACTCTCCGAGCGCATCTTCGACCACGACCTAATCCCTGCCTCTCCTGATGTCTTGTACCTGGCAGCACTCACTGATGGTGTTTGTGGCTTGAGTCATCCATTCTGTGCCCCTCTTTAGCCTTGATGTCATGGGAAGTCTAGGAGGTATCTCATTGCTTCAGCTGAGGTGTCCCATGTGCACCTAAGGATTGCCCTCATTCCTTCATGTTGTAACTCCTCGAGTCGTTGCAGTTGCGCCTTTGGGGGCTCTCGTGACCTTGAGGTTAAGATGTTCGCCTGTCTTTCTAAGGTCCTGGGTTCGAATCCGGGTAGCGACGGAAAAATTTTCTTCTCTAAAATTGTCTCCTTTCACCTCCTTTCCTGCTAGAAGAAGCCAAGGAGAAGCAGTAGAAAGACAGCAGTAAGAAGGAGCCAAGGAGTAGCAGTAGAAAGACAGCAGTAAGAAGGAGCCAAGGAGTAGCAGTAGAAAGACAGCAGTAAGAAGGAGCCAAGGAGTAACTTCTAGTGCCTTACACACACACAACCAACAGGCTATGTGCAATGATGTGATTCAATACCAGCAGTGTGTGTATCATGCTGTGTGGGGGCAAGCCTGGTGTGCTCTGTAACCTGACACTCTTGAAGAGGATGGATGTGTTGTTTTCCACCATGCGTGCAGGGCGATTTAAATTCAAAACAATTGTGGGAAAAAATTTGATTAGGTGTTTCGAGATGGGCTTTTTTACAAATCCACACAGATGTTTGAGAAAACAGTGTTACCAATACAAAGAAAATATGGTGGTTCAGTTTCAGAATGGCATTTGTCTGACTCGTGAGCAATCCTTGATTTTGAGTTTTGCGTGTTTGTGTTATCTCTGCCCGACTGTATGCAAACCATAACTTGGTGATGGGTTACCAATTACTGTGGTTTCCGATGTGATACCCTTTGACGTAATAATTGTAACGGCCAAGAATTCTACTTCAGTGTCTCTTAGGTATTTTTGTTTGATGTCTTATTCGTTGATGGCATTTTTTCTTATTTCTTGATGGTAATCTTTTTTTAAATGTTGGATAGGGATTGTGCAATGTAAATGTATGATATTCTGTGTTTCACAGTCTGTTACTCCAATCTTTTACTAGTCTTTGGTTATTTGACTTTGACCACACTGAGGAGGATTCCTCGTGATTGGTCTAAGTTGAGTAATGGATGAGGGGGGGGGGGGGGCATGTGTTCTGAATGATGTATTCAGCTACCAAATGGTGGGTAGTTGGGAGAGAGATTCTATGCTGTGTGCTCTGGATTACCTCATTTTTTACTACAGTGCAATATTCACGTGTTCCGTGTCAGTTTTTATAAGACACTTCTGCCGCTTCTGCTTGTGGTGTCCTGACGTCCCTCAGTGACCTTTGTTGCCAGTGTCCGTCATAAGCGACTCTTGTACCTTGTCATGTTTTAATTGGTAAATGTCTCTGTACTTTACACTGCTCATAAATCTCAAAAATATAATACCAATGCCTTGGTGAATTTTACTAAAGCAGAAACTCGATGTCACACTATATATTATATATAATCTAATGAAAATGCTTTATATCAGAGAAAACGTTTTTATATGTAAATGTCGTCAGTATATGGTGAGAACTAAAGTATTGTGCTATTTCTTTTTTACTCGAATCTGTTGATTCCGTTTTACATGTGAAGCTTGCCAACCAAAGAACGTATGTATGGAGTTCAATATTCTAGTCAGTGTTTTTTACCCTCTGATTATGTTGATACAACCTATGGTTTGTTTTTATACTTTTTAGCGTTGATAGAATATATGCAGTTTTGATCAAATTTATTGCTGCGTCTGGGTTGCAGTTGTCTGTGAGGAAGAAGAAAATCAATTGTGACCATTATCCAGATGTGAGGCGTGCTGACCGAGTGAGTTACTTTTTGCAATCCACATTGAGAGTATATATCAGCTGCAAATTCACCCAGGAATCATCAGACTTGAAAATTTTTAACTGATGCCGTTTTCTTTAAGTGTAACATGCCTTTTATCATTTCATACTTATAAATTGTGGCTAAAACAGCACCTGGACATGGATGGTCGGTGCCTCTATAAATAAATTATTGATGGTCAAGGTCACTTAAAAATAATTGTACCAGAACTCAATCTATAAATACAGTAAAACCTGTGTAAAAGTAAAACGGCCACCCGTTGTCAAGGAGAAAAATGGCCGTATAACACAGGTGGCCGTCTTAGGCAGGACTGATCAAAATGAAGAAAGCAAACCATTCTCTACTGAGGTCCAAACTGGGGCTGATCTCAGGCTTATTCAAAAGGGTTTTTGTTTTCTTTTGAAAAATGGGGGTTTGTTTTATGTTTAGCTTTCTTTTTGTTGCTGATTTTGTGTAAGGGTAAAGTAAACGAAATATTATTTTATGCAAGTACGATGATGAAGACCGAGTGCCATTGTAAAACAAACAAACGGGTCGTCACCTCTTTGAGAACGAGCAACGCTTTTGTCGCAACTTCATGTCAATGTCCATTCTTACTTTGTTCAGATTTGGTAAACCAAACAGTGACCAGTCACCTCACACACGATTTGTGCACGAGTTGTTGGTGGGGCTTTTAGGTTTTGATGGATCACACTTCCCTCACCAGCAGTTGAACATTGATTGTTAGGCCTACCCATTGGTCAATTAGGGTAGACATTCATTGGAGGGACTAACAATAACGACAGGTCAATGAATTATGAAGGCCTGCCCACAACATGAGGGGCCGATTCAAAATTTATGACAAAGCGTCGGGCAATGAGTGACCACCCTTGGCCGCCTGAGGCAGGTAAATTTGTCCCGGGTTGATAAAATAAGGTGGCCGCGGCCGGCCGCATTGGACAGGTGGCAGTTTTACACGGTTACGTTATATAAGAAAAAACGCAAGGGAGGACATAAAAAGTGGTCGTTTGTACAGGTGGCCGTCATGACTGTATGATGTGTCTATGTCCATAGGGCTAAAATCCAAGAAATAACTCATTTTGTTAGCTTGCCTCACAAATGTCATCAACTAGTATTGGTGTAGTCTAGAGTATCAAGAAGGCCAAGAGAGAAACAAATGAGGAGAATACTGATGACAATAGTGTGATTTTTAAAAACATTTTAAATTTTGGTGGGAGCTTCTGCTTCCGATATCAAGTATAATCTTGGGAAAATCCATAACTTTTGGCTTGTTTTCTTTATTTCCTATTTGCAATTTCATCCTTTTTGAAGCTGCTTTGTATTTTTGTTAGACTCACGAATTATGAGACCGATCAAGTTCAAAAGTACATCGAATGCTATTTTAACTTTTTAGCAA